GATCTCTGCTGTGTTTCAAGTACCCAATATAATGTAGTGGTCGGTAACAATCTATTACAAAGCAATTTTTATGAGCTGGGTAGTTTAGCCAAGAAACTAAAGGATGGCAAAAGAAAAAGCGTAGAAAAAAGAAATTGCAAGAGCCTGTGCTTTTATCATAGATGGTGTTTTCAGAAGCAAATAAACTTGGTAGAGGAATGAGAAGATTGAAAGACTTGAGTGATGGCAACAAGAAAGCAGTCCCCAGGAAAGCTCTCCTTGGATGAGATGATAACCAATGGGACAGTGATAGAAGTTTGACTGTATTTGTTTCATGGAGAGCTAATCAAGTGGGTAAGAGTGAAGTTTAAATAATCAATATCCAGATGCTTAGCATTACTTAAGAATAAGGTAATTAAGATTCAGAGTAATGGTTAGGAGATTTAACAGAGGGATCATTTAGTGCTGGTCACAGGCTCTATTTAAATGGCCAAGGAAATGCTAAGAAATTAAAATGTACCATCAGAAGTAATTAGATAGGAGAAGGGAAAAAAAAACAGCTAGGCACAAAACATGTGATGGTTCTGCCACTGGATACTGATTTACCTAAATGAAGAAGCATTTTGTAGACTTAGCAATTAAGGTATTTTGTCCTCAACATCACTCTTTACTTGATCCTTATCATTACTGCATTACCCTAAGTTAACCTTTTTTGTTACTGGCTGCTCCTCTTTCCGACTTTGACATACACAGTTCTTTTCTGACATTGTTTATATTTCTATGCTTTTGCATAACCACAGAGAGCACCAGTTATGTCATATATACATTCCTTCAAATAACCATTGATGGATAGGCAGGGATAGATATTTTTAAAAGATGAGACAATGCAATCCCAGAGAGCTTAAGCAACTTGAAAGAGGTGGTTCATTTGATGATGCCATAGTAGATCCAAAACAGAAATGGAGCCCACATTTCCTGGCTTTTCTTCTATATAGCCTACTCACTAGACCACACTGCTTATCTGGGTTATAAGGACTTGATTTAAATATTAAGGAGATGTTGAAAACAGTACTGCATTTCGGTGAGAAAATAACAGGGAAACACCCATTTTGTTTTTTAAAGAAAATAATTGACATCCTCAACAGGAGAGAAAGAGAATGGAAAACTGTGGACTTTGTGCAATGGTATGGGGGGAATGAAATGGGTATGATTACCTCACAACCCAATTGCGTTTCATATGCCCATTTAGATACTAAGATCTAGATAGAACTGCTCCTAGGCAAAAATCAGGACTTAGGAGAGTTCACACTGTGGTATTCAGAAGGTAGCCTCCCCTTTCTGTACCTTTCCCACTCTTCCTTCTACTACTTCATTGTACCACTGCACCCAATACTCTCTTTCTCTGTCCTTCTTCTTTCCCTATAAAATCTGTTTTAGCAAAGGATCAGATAAATGCATTCCCTCAGGAGTCCTTGACTAATTAAACTTAGTGAGTTGAGGGGGTGAAGAAATTCTGAGTTTTAACAGCAAAGTGCTAAACCAAAGAAACAAGTTTCTAATAGTGGAATTTTAGGCATCAGTGAGGTTGATGGAGAAGGCATACTGGGGTATAGGTACTTTTTGGAATCCTGGAAATCACATTATTTAGAGAATTTCCTACTCTGCCCTTTCATAAGGCCAGCCTTAGCTTTAGTACAACAGCCTTCATACTTGATAACTGCACACTTAATTTTGACGAACAGTTTAGTGTTTGCTTTTTTTCCCCCTCCTGCTCAAACTGAAGCTATGAAATTAATTTTCACCTAGCTCACTGACTTGAGGAGTTAGGATGAAAGAAAATTTAAAGAAATGGATATATGAGATATAACAGCAAAGTAAAAAGAAAACAAAAGAGATCATGGTTGTTGACTCATGCTTTTCTCTCAAATGAGGTCTAGAAGTCCCATCTCAATGGCACATTATAGAGCAATGGAAGCTTTTTATAAGACTACGGTATGAATCTTAAAATTTACTTGACACTGTGTTGAAATACTATCAGACTTTTTTTTCTTTTGAAGGGGAAGAGAGAGACTGATGCAGGTAGGCAATTGGTAGAATAAGCAAGGCTAAATTATCAGTTGCACACTATGAGTAAAATTTCAGGAAAAAAAGACAAGTATGGAACAACAGAGACTGTCAAGTCAACATATATTACACTAGATTTGTTAGTAAAAGATGAAACTCCATAAGGAATACTGTAGTTCAACAGAACAGTTTCATAATGTAAAATTAGGAAATCAGAGAAGAAAAACTGAAATGTGACTTTAATGTAGTAGAATTGGTGACAACTTCAAACTAAGTGTAGGTCAAATTTTCCATGCGTATATAGAGTGGTAATACTAAACATTACAGTCTACTCCCACCCCAACCTCCACCTCAATTCCTAGAAACTCCACTCAGAGAAAACAGTATTTCTGGGAATAACATCATACCACCATTAGTTTTTCAGAAACAGCTGTCAATTCCAGAAAGTAATGCTTTCAGAGAAAATACCTGCCTCACCACTATATTTATATATATCTGTATTTTTCCAAATTTCTTTTACCAAGATCTCCCAAAAGGGGAAATTCATTTTTCCAAGTCAAGCAATCATCACTTACATGGGACCAAAGACAGTTGTGTTAAAATAATTAAAGTGTTTCCATTAAGTAAAGCAAGCACAAAGTGAGGTATGAAAAAAATTATAAGAATAGAAATGTTTTCAGATCCCATTTTTAAAAATTTGGAGTCAGCAGTATTCCCATGGATCAATGGAACATTTGAAAAGCACACCCCACTTGAAAATGAGAAAGTGAATGGGTTAAAAGTAGAAAATGAAGTACTTTCCCTGTCTACCTTGAGCAGAATGCCAAAGTAAACCAACAGCCCAAATGATGAAAAGTAAACTAGAATTTTTCTAATTATTTTGGTTTATATAGGCATGTATGTATATTTTTTTATTGCCAGCTTCCCCTTTAGCACATGATCATAATAGAGGAGTCTGGCTGACTGAAAACAGAGGTAGAATGTGAAATGGAAAATACTGGAAAAATAATATCTAAATTTCATGGAGAAAAGTGTGAGCAACAGTAACTGAGGCACACATCAAATAAACTGTTAATGAAAGGGTCTCCCTAGTAACTGAGAATAGCTATGCAGTTAGAGTAATTGGTAGGGAAGCTGATTAAAAGGGCCATGTAAGGAAGTTCATCATGGACTATACCTGATAGCCTACAAGAATAGAAATTTCATCTGTAGAATAACAAGGTATGTTAATATTCCTGGTAAAGAAACTGATTTCCATGAGTGGCTTATAGATTTAGTCTTTTTACTTTGCTCATAGAATTTCTACCCTGGAGCATATCTATAATGATAGGCTTGAGATCTGAGCCTTGGGTCTGCCTTAGCATTTCAAAACAACTTAGTAGCAGATCCTTTTGGTAACTAAATCTTAGAAAGGGGGTCTAATCTGGACCCACCTTATACTAAATTCCATCCCATATAGGATGTTTGTAGCAAGTTATCAATATATTGGAAAACTATAGATATTTTCCTATGAGATACTTTCTCTTCATTTCACTTAGGTGCCATGTGAACAATTCTTATAAAACAAAGGTGGTAAGTGCCACTCAGTGTACTGAGATAGAAGAATCTAGAAATAAGATTTCACTAACCAGTTAAATATTCAACTTGAATCACCACAGGTCAATTAACCTAAAAAAAGAGGTAATCTGAAAGGGTAGAGAGATGGTCTGCCACTGGCACTCAGTTGGTATCCCACTGATTATACTACTGTGCTAATGTTTAAAATCTATCACGAACAAAGGACTGATTCAGGGGAAATTACAAATTCCAGTAGTTAACAATGTTTACAGACCTTTTACCTTTACAACACTCTCTGGTCTGCTTTGGTCCACGATTTAATAAGGCAACAGATAAGACAGCTCTGAGTTATCCAGTGCACAGTGCACAGTTAAAGATGTTCCTAGCTGAGGAGCAATTTAGGCAAATAACATCTTCCTAGCATCTCTGATCTTCATAAACAGGTCTCTAATGTTTTGGGGGAATATAAATAGTATTTGTATATAGCCAAATGAGAAAACAAGTTAGTGTATTTATGGTATTCCAAACACTTCTCTTTTTTATGGGCACTCTGGGTGCTAGTAGCACTTTGACAAAAACAGGAGGGCAGTCAGCCAAAGAATCCTTTGTAGGAAAGAAAGCCCTCCTGACCCTATGAATAGGAAAAAACAAGATGCTTTGACCACCACTTAGGGAGGCAACAGCATGGTCTTCATCGATCAAGCCAGATCTGTATATTAAAGGCACAGTTACTTTAATTCTGTTTGGCTCAACTAAGGCATCTTTGTGTATGTGTGTGTGTATGTATGTACAGTTGATCACAGTCTTTTTCTGCAAATGGCATTTTTAAACATTTAAAGCATTTATCTCAATGATATATGAATATGTGATTTTATAAAGTAATGAGCCATTCTATAAGCAAAAGCAATCTCGTTTTATAAACACACCTTCGGATATCACAAAGGTAGAAACTTTAATTTAAATACAATTCTGATTTCAAGTTACAAGCTCTTTTTACCACAAATATTCTAGTCACTAAAATAAAAGTGGGTTCTTAAAAAATTAACCTTTACTGATAATAAATTTGAATATTGATGTCATTTTGTACATTTAGATTCAAGCTCAATTGGAAAGTACTTGCTTTCTAAAATTAGCAGTAATGCCACTGGACATTATTTTCAGGTCAGTAAAATTAATATTTGAAATGTATAAAAGTTCTACATTACTATAATGTCCTTTAAAAATTAATTGGAAATTTATTTTTATGGGAGAATATAGTTATAAATATTGAGATTTGGGTAGGAAATGAAGAACTCAGACTAAAATTAGTGAATCTTTCAGCAAACTTAGAGGGAAAGGTGTTGAATGTTGAAAACATGTACTCTAGCTACCTGAGTAGTTTCTTTGGGGAAAAAAAATCTTTAAATATTAATTTTAAAAAGACATATTCACATTGCTAACTTTGAAAATAATTATTTCCTAGAAAAGTGAATTGATAGAGGACTAATATTTGTTACTAATGGATTCTATCTAATTTCTATCAGATTTTTATCTATCTTATTGCATCAGTACCTGGCAAAGGATAGTCAATAATTCCTATGTAATGATGTTCAATATCTCTTCAGGTATGTCAAAACAGAACAAGTCACTGTAAGTTACTATCTTTTATCAAATGCAGACCTGTAGATTCAGACACCTACAGCTTTCCCTACAACTTTCCCCAGTTTTATAATTTTGTAGAATCTTGCATTTGTTAATGGGTTCTAGGAAGAGCTGAAAGGGACCTAAAAGATAATCTAGTAAACCCCTCTTATCTTACAGACAGAGAAACTGAGGACCAGTTAAGTGATAACCAAAGTCACAAGGATAATATATGGTAGAGCCAGTATTCAAACTCAGGCCTTCTGATTCAAATCTAGTTTTCTTTCCACTATATCTCAATTCTCAATCTTTACTTGAAAAAAATTAGATATAGATGAATATTAATGGAATACCAATATTGTGATTTTTTGAAGGTATGTACTGAAAAAAATTAAATTTCTTATAGCAATGTTAAAACATCCCATGGATATTATGCATTTTTTAAAAACACAGACTTTCCCGGTAGGTATATTATGGGTGGATTTCTCTGGGACTCTTAACTTTTGAACTCTCTGGCACTTAGAAAAAAAAAACCTCCCATTTAAATTTTGGAAGAATATACATTTAGATTATAGATACTAGTTATGAATTTTCCTAATAAATACACCAAATCAGCTACACCTTATGTAAAATAATGTTATTAACATCACTACTGAATTGTTACATAAAATTGACATAAAATATAGCTGTACAAATAAATTAAAATGTTTCCAGGTTTTTGATTAAATAGAATCCTTATTATAGTACAATATCGCATGTTACTTGGTTGAATTATATAGCCTAGTTATTTATTATAATCATTAAATATATTTTTACAAAATTTAATGTCTCCCTATTAAAAATGAAAGAAATTGGAATACACATCATTCTTAATTACACATGATTGGCTGCATGTTAATAATGAATCAATTAAATTGTCTTATTCCTGTTAATGACTTACAGTTTGAATTTTGTGGAAATCCTGGCAAGGAAGATGGACCGTTCATTCCGGGTAAAAGAACTGGAGGAAGGCCAGGTAGTCCTGGGTAAGCTGCTGGCAGACTGATGCCATGAAGTGGACTACTATCCATCATGCCTGGTTGCTGTACACTTAAGCCAAGAACATCTGTTGCCTTCTTTATACGATCCAGTTCTTGCTGTGCCATCAGCTGTCGAACAGTTGTAGGAGCTAAGTAATCTTTCTCCCGGTCTAGCTGACTTCCAACAGTTTCTCTCACTTTTGAAATGTGTTGTTTGGAAAAAATATGATCTCTGATGGACAAACGGGCAGAGTATTTCACCCCACATAGAGAACATTCTGGCTTGGAGCCATCAGTTCCACTTTGATTGATCATGAATGGCTTCCCTATATTAATTTTAAATTTCTTTTCTTTTGCCCGAGCATTCTGAAACCACACTTGGACAACTCGTTTAGGTAGGCCAATCTCATTCCCTAGCATTTCACATTCTTGCATGGTTGGAGTTCGGTAGTCACTAAAGCAAGCCTTGAGAACCTTGAGTTGAAGGTTACTCATTTGGGTTCGGAAACGCTTGTGACCTGGTCGATCACTGCTTTTGGATTTAAAAGGGTTACTGGATCCAAATGGATTAGGTGAACTAGGATCAGCTATGCTTGATGTTTCACTCCGGTCAGCATTATCATCAGGGTCATCAGTGATATAAAAACTTTGGTCATGGTCGCCATCTTTGTCATTAAAATGAATTGAGGGGCTTGTAAGGGAAAAGAGAAATTTGTCATCACAACCCTCTGTTGTAGGTGTGGTTGCTGTTTTTGGCAAAGTTTCAAGTGTTTTGGGCTCTTTTGGGGATAATGCAGGTTTTACATCTCCAGTACTTCCAGTGGTGCTTTCCATTTCATTATTCCCTTCATCTCCTGTGGTGGCATCACTGATAGCTGTATTAATTGATGAAGTCTCATCAAAGTCAGTTTTATTTTGGTCATACCCAGCTTCAGCAGGAGGAGCATTTAAATTCTCTATGTCTTCAGTGCATTCTGCTTTGAAAGAAGAAGGGCTTAAAAGGTTTTTGGGGGACAGCTCTGCTGTTTTACTAACAGGTGTTGAAACAGTGGAAGCCAATTCATTTTCACTGGAGAGATCAATTTTAGTTAATGACAAAGATGGATAATCAAAAAATATATACTTTTGTGGACTTTCTCCTCCATCTTCTGTTGAAATCAAGGGGCTTGGTGGCAAACTGTAACCTGCCTGTTTTCCTTCATTCCAGTGACGAGAGCGAATGTGACTTTCTAAAGCTGACTTTGCTTTGAACAGGGCTCGGCAAAAGGGGCATCGTTTGTGAGACTGAGCGGGCCCTACTGCACGGAACTGGCCTTTCCTTTCTCGAGCTCTAGTGTTTTGAAACCAGACTTGTACCACCCTCTTTTTCAGCCCAACCTCACGTGCAATGTGATCCAGCATTTTTCTGGTTGGATTGGAATCCAACAAGTATTTTTCATACAGTATTTCCAACTGCTCAGGGGTGATTGTGGTCCTCAAACGTTTGTCACGATGTTGATCCTCGCCACTATTTCCTCCCTCCTTTTCACTACAATTATTATCTTCTTTATCATCCATTTTCCTCTTCAGTGAAGCAGAAACAGTTGCAGGGGCTGTCGTGTGGGATGAGCCTGTCTGTGGTGGCATCTGAGCTAAAGGACCAGTAAGTAGCTGTCCTGTCATCAGTGGGTTGTTGGGGTCAAATATCATATAGGGCATATCCATGGGCCTTTCTAAAAACTGAGAATGGAGAAATTGGTTTTGCGCTGCTAGGAAATGCATGTGCTGGTGTTCCTGCCAAAGTTCCAGAGTTGGAAAGGCAACTGTACACTGATCACATTGGTATTGTAGCAACTGTGGAGGTAGACTGTTCTGGAGAGAAGTCATTGAGATCGGTAGTGGGCTGGAAGGGACAGGTGTTGTTTGTGAGGCAGAGGGGGGTCTTCCAATAAGTTGGGATTGTTTTGGTGGCTGTGATTGAGAGACAGAAGGCTGTGGATCTGAGGATGGTGTTGCTATTGGAAGGATGGGCTTGGTGCTTTGAGAAGGAGGAGATGTGTCACTCTGCTTTGGCTTTTCTGTGGGGTATTCAGGTTTAGGAGAAGTTTTTTCAGGCTCTGGTTTAGGGGAAGGGATTAGGGGAGTACTAGACCCAGAACCAGAACTTGCTGCAGTGACAGCTGAGTTTTTGGCAGTGTCTGTTGGGCCAGATACCGTGCAATGTTTATATACCATTTGATCTGTGGCATCCATAGAGTCTTCAGTTTGGCTTTCATCTTGGGCGTCATCATCTTCATCTTTATAACACTGTTTTTTCTGATGGGTAATCAAGTCAAAAATTCTGGGGAAAACCACACTGCACTTTTTACACTGGTATTGCATGTTGCTTGTTCTTATATACCGCTCATTTGTGAGTTCTCTCTTTTCATTATCTTTAGTTTCTGCTTGATTCTCATAACTCTTGCGAGCTTTCTGACGGGCATTCTGGAACCACACAACAATTACTCGAGTAGGTAAGTTGAGGACAGTAGAAAGCTGCTCAATTTCATCATCTTTTGGATAAGCATTTGTGTCAAAAAAGTCTTGTAATACTCTAAGCTGGTAGTCAGTAAACCTAGTCCTAGAAGACCTTTTACTGAAAGATGCATCTGATTTGTAATGTTCTAAAGTAGTAGGCTGGGGATCAATTCTGATATCTTCCAATACAGTTATGGGAGGGTTACTGAAATTGTACGGTGAATCCTTATTTCTTTGCCGTTCCTTAAAAAGTGTATTGCGAAACCAGTGTTTGATAACTTTTTGGGAGAGACCAGATTTTTCTGCCATTTCTTGGATCTGTTCTTCGCTTGGAGAATTGTTTATATCAAAATAAGCCCGCAAGATTTTTAATTGATCATCTGTGATTCTTGTCCGTGGGCGCTTGAACTGAGAATGACGTAAGAAATTTGGATCTAATCCAAGCTGCTGTTGGCAAAGCTGAGTGAGATCTGCAGAAAGGGTGTCCATTTGTGGCAGCTGAAGAGCAAGCTGAGGAGGTAGTGCAGGATGTTGGACTGGTTGCATCATAATGGGAGGGAAAAGGGGAAGGTCTAGAGAAACAGGCAGCTGGACCTGAGGGGGAGCAGAAGGTGGAGGAGGGGGTGGTGGAGGGGGAGGAGGAGGAGGAGGAGGAGGAGGAGGGGGTGGAGGTGTAGGTGGGGGAGCCTGCAGGGGAGTAGGAGGTGTGTTCTGGATTTTTCCAGAACCAACAGAAGAAGACTGAGAAGGGGCTGGAGGCAACGGAGGTGGTGGGGGTGGTGGAGGTGGAGTCTCTGGAGAAGAGGGTGAAATGGGATAGAGCTTGTCATAGGCCTCTCTGTACTGACGAGCGAATTTTTCTAGAGCTCCATGGGGAAAAAACTGACTGTGTACATGTTCTTGATGACTCTTTAAAATAAGAACATTGGAAAATAGTTTACCACATGTCCCACATTCCAGTTTATCAGTATTCTCCCCTTCTCCAACTTTGTTCTTCTTCTGTACTTTCTGCCTATTTTCATTATATTGGATGACTAATTCAAAACCAAAGTTTTCTAACAAGGCTTTGGCAGCATTTCCTCTTGCCCCTGAAGCTATCCGGGGTGGAGGGATGGTTGGTTCTAAGGGTTTTTGTTTCTTCATGTCTTTGTTTTCCTTGAGTCCTTCATTTTCATTTGTAAATTCTTGCTTTGGCTTTTCTGGCTTCTCAGAAATCTCTTCTGTATCCTTATATGATGGCAAATCCTTCATTAATGGGCAGTCCACATTTCCAATACTGTTTTGCTCTTGTTTTAGCAACTTGGTCGATTGTTGTTGTTGTTGTTGTTGTTGTTGTTGTTGTTGCTGCTGCTGCTGCTTTTGAGACTGAATTTGGGGCTGGGTAGCTTGGTATTGTTGTGCTTGTTGCTGTAATATCTGGAGTTGGGTTTGGCCTACATGATGCTGAGTTTGAATCTGCTGCTTCAAGTCTTCAAGCAAGGAACCCGCCATCCCTGCCATTCCTGGCATACCAAATGTGGCCGAGCCTGGCAAGCCCAGATCTGGACTCAAGCTGAACTCTGTCCCAGGGATGTAGAATGGAAAAAGGAACTGAGGCTGTTGGAATTGCAGCAGCGCTTCTGGTGTCATTGGGAAATGAGGCAGAAATGCTGGGTTTAAAAACTGAGGCTGAAAGAATGCAGCTTGCTGTTGTAACTCATGCTGTAATTGCATCTGAAGTTGTGCTGGTGACTGGGGTGGGTGATGTGGAGGTTGAGCAGAGATTAATTCAGAAGCTTGCTTTTTATTTAGTTCTTTGGCATCTAAATGGGTATCTTTGCTATTAACTGCTGGTAAGCTCATTGACTCTAACATCCCTTGTCCAGGACTATTAACATTTGCTGCAATACTATTTCCACCGCTTATGCTACCGCTTGGTTCTAACTTGGCAGCCCTTGCCTTTGTCTGGTGAAGCACAGACCTCATGTGGATTTCCAATGTAGAACTTTGGCTATAGGCAACATTACAAATGCTGCACTTGTAAGGTTTGTTATCTGTGCTACTGTTGGTTTCTTGGGGAACAGGACTTGATGCTTCTTGCAAAACTTTTTTCAATTTATGTAAATGGGAAACTGAATTATAATGGACCAAGAGAATGTTCTTTTGTGTGAAAGACTCTTTACACACTGTACATTTATATGGGCGAGATGGGTCTAGAAATTTTTCCATAGTAAAATTTGGCCCTTTTCTAAAAGGTAAGGTCCGCTTTGGTTCTGAGCCCATGTCATCTGGAATAGAGCTACTATCACTTCCTACAGGGCTTGCTTTTCCCTCCTGGTCCATCTCATATTCTCTCTCTATCTCCTGTTCTAGGGCATGATCATCCTGTGCCAGATTTTCATTTTCGGCCCATAGTTCGCCGTTAACAGGTAGAGATGCATACAATTGTTGAAGTTCACCTTCATTTAGTTCTGGGTGGCCTGCTTCCAAGTGTTTTTTTAGAGCCTGGAATGTACGGAAGCTACGCTGGCAGAGGCTACACATAGTTGCTGCCCGGATAGCGTGATACTGGGAATGGATCTGAAGCTTCTGCATAGTCTTAAAAGCTAAGCTGCAATGGTTACATCGGTACTTATAAACATGGCGATCCGAAACAGAGAGCTGTTGCCTTTTCTGCTGTTCATTTAATTGATCTTGCAGTGAGTCAGTGACCTTGACATCCTTGCTGCCATTCTTATTCCATTCTGGCATATCTGTGGCCTCCTTAGGTGGCTTCTGTTCCTCAACCTTAATTTCCATTCCAGTCTTTGATTCCTCAAGGCCTGGGATGTTTTTATCATCTAAAGGACTTTCACCTGGGCAAAAGAAGCAAAGAAATGTCTTTCAGAGAAAAGTGTACTGGGTGAAAAGTTACACACACACACACACACACACACACACACACATTTATATTTTCTGGGGACAATATAGATATTTTAAAAACCTACCTATATTTGACAACAAGGTATTCATGCATTTGAAGACTGTGCAATCCCCATGCTCTTGGGACATTTTAGGCAGTTCTATATTATTTTCTATTTGATTTATCTCCTTGACTAGATTATAAGCTGCTCAAAGGCAAAGGCCATTTCTGATTCATTTTTGTGTTTTCTTCAGAAAACTGAGAGCCTGGCACAATGGATGATCAAAAATATTTGTTGGAATAAAGGCATATGCAATGATTTGGATAATAAGAATGGTAACTGATATTTATTGAGTGCTTTACAATTCATAAAACATTGTACATCTATTATCTCATTTGAGCCACATCATAATTCTCTGGATGCACATCAAAATTATATCAAAACAAACAAGTATAAAGTCATGTTGACATGCTGAAAGCTGAGTCTACTAAGAGCAAAAGCAAGTCCTGTTTCACACTTTTGGGTACAACAGCACTCTAGAAATACTTTGGAAAACATAGCCCTAAATAATACCTTTATTTTCTCCCCTACTTCTTTATTTTATTTAATTTTCTTATTTTTTTTCTCCTCTACTTCTCTGTAACAATAATATTAGTCCATTCAAAGGGGAAAAAAGGGAGGGGTCCCTTTTTCCAGATTATGCAGTTCTTATGAAGAGACTTGCCTACCTGAATATTTCCCAGATCCTTCATTTATAATGGTTGCAGGTGTATCACGCTCTGATTTCTCAGTGGTGGCTGTTGGCAGTAGCATACTGTTAGGCATCATCACATCAGGAACAGGAACCTTTAGGAATCAAAGAGACAAATAGTAAATTCATCAAGGAAATGGCACTGCTTACAAATAAGCCACATTATATTGTTTTTTTGGAAGCATACTTCTACTTCATGATTTTCTAAACAACATATAAGCATTTTATATACAAATCAGTGCTTTCTTTTTCATATTTCAATCAATGCTATAGAAATACTGTATTCATCTCTCTTTTTCTGTTCTGATTTTGGAGAGTTTCTTTTAAAAAAAAATGTTGGTCTTATAATGAAAGCAAAGAAATTTTGCAAATCATAGGGCCCAGATTAGTCATTTGATTAAATACTGTAGATGTAAACATAAATAAAAAAAAGACCACCAAGTACGCGCTAATGAATGGGTTATGTCTTATATCCTGTTTGTTTTTTCATCAAGAGATAGCTAACTGATCCCGACTATGAACTTTTAAGCACAATCTATAGTAGTTTTCAACAAATCAGAAGAAATTAGCTTTTAAGTATAAATAAATGTAAATTCCATAGTGATACCTTTAGATAAATTCTGTCAAACATGCATCAATATTTTGTATTCTTACTGTCATAAGCAGCTTCTCCACACAATCAGGAGATACACTGTGCAAGTGGGTCAAATGAAGCTGGAGATGCATTTTGTTGCTGAGGACGTCCTGGCAGAGGGGACAGCAGATGACAGGCTGCATTGAATGCTGTGACAGGACATGCATCTGGATACGATTTGGGTCCCTACTATTGTAGTTACAGTAGGGACATTGATAGAACTGGAAAATAGACATGACAGGTATTAGTTCATGTATTTTAATGACTCAACAATGTTAGAAGTAATATCAATAATCAATTATGACTTATATTTTGCCAATCACAATGCTTACATACATTTTAACAGCATGATACTTTTTGTTCTCTAAAATTACCCAGAACAAAACAAAGAAAATGCACTTTTTTCTTTTGTGGGGAAAAGTATATGTTTTATACCACATAAATAACAAGAAAAATTTGCAAGGCAGTGGGAATTACTTTATTTACCTGCTCATGACAAAACTTATTGTCCTCAGTGGATTTTGATCTTTTGGCTGCACCATCCTCTTCTTTTGCCTGCAGGAGTTGCTGTGTCCCTATTGCCACATTGGCTTTCAGCTCCTTTTCTGGTGTGATTATTCCTGTTGCTAAAACACAATTTAACAACAACATAAAGAAGACCAACAATATTAAAGTCTAAAAATACATATTTACAAATAGTTTGTGATTATCAGTTCCCTCCCCCTCCTTTGTTATTTCCCATCAAAAGCAGACAAATTCTTTTAAATGTAAAATGCTGTTCTGAAAATGCAAGATCACACTTCCTTTTTGTCCACTAGCTAAGTGGACTCTATAAATACATTTAAAAATGTACTCCTGTCTCATGTTTAGATAACCTTAGGTTGCCTTGAAAGATTAATCAATAACATGCTCTCACCAGCATCCCAGTCAGAATTTCTATATTGCATTAAAACAAATCAACTTTTCACTCATAAATCCTTACTTCACAAAATAATTAATTTACTAATGTTTAATTACCTTCCTCTTTTCTAAAATGCCATGGCACTGAAATGATTGCAATATTCTGAGAAGCGCTGACTAGTCACAACTGCAAAGCTAAAGCATTTTTTAAGTGGTGAAATGTAGGATTTAAAAATTAACCATACATTACATATCTGCTGAGATTAGCAATTTGCTTTGGCTTTCAGCGTTTACTTTGTGTGTTTTACACATATTATTGTAGCCCAGATCCCAAGAATATAATTGTTTTCTGAAGATGATTCTAGTATTCAGTGTTAAATACTGTATTTTAAATTATGCCTGGATGAGCTATGCAATGTGGACAAGGCTTGGACACATCAAAGGAAAGAGTGCAATTCTAATTTCCCAGTCCAACAGAAAATTCTTTCCACCGTCAATTTGCCAGATAATCTCTTCTGCTAGGCTGGATATTACAACAGCATTCGGTAGGCATGTCACATACATCTCACGACAAACACAAAACCTCATTTACCAACCATTCCAATCTCATCATAGTGCGGCATCATCTGACCTTTTTTCTGCTGTTTATTATGAGTATTTCTAATTTTAACTTTCAATTTTCACCATCTTCCAGTCAATTTGCAACTAAATTATTTCCAGGGTGAGGACACTATCACTGGACAACTGGGTGCAAATACATCTTGAAATGCAATGAAGCTAAACCATTGATTGCTATCAGACCCAACGTAAATATATGGTCCAGGGGTAATCTGATTGTATGCTGTGCATGAAGATTTATCTTGATTTTTTTCAATCCACACACGGTTCATATAAATGAACAAATTGCACTTCATTGCACAATAACCTAGTTTTAATTTAAAAATAAGGTCAGGGATGTTATGGAAACAAAGTAAAGATGAACAAAGAAAATGCATTTTTTTCTCTTATGGGGAAAAGGATATATTTTATACCACATAAAATAGAAATTTCAAATTCAGAAAGCTATGTTTAGCTAAAAGGAAATGAGAAGACCAAAATTAATATAAATATGTGAAATGGGAATAGTGAAAATTGGTGAACAATAAGTATTTTTCTCTTGGTTACTGATTTACATTGAATCAAAGTCCACTTTCTGACAAACTATACTGATTTGCATCTCTAGTATTATAACCCCTAATTTTTCTTCAAAATAGTTGTTATAGTTATTAAATATCCTGAGGAATTTTAGAAATTTTCTCTGTTTTACAACTAATTTATCAAATTTCTTTTTGAATGAGATTACTACAAAGTTTTACTGTATCAATAAAGTTTTTTTCCCCAAACATTTGCCATTCTGAGATATAAGACAAATATGAACCCTCATCTTGTAATTACTTATGACAACAGTGACTATGCTATTCTTTCTCCTAGCAGAATGTAGCTTGCATTGTTGCTTTAAGAGCCTTACAGAAAAAAGGTTATAGAAACCAAATGATAGATAATATTTATGAATATGCTACTTTGAAAGACTCAGACAAGTGGATTTGTTATTATTCATCTCTCCATCACCTTTACTTCCTGCTGTCAGAGGTCTATCATTGACTCTTCTTGTGTGTCTCAAAATTTCTTCATTTTAAAGATTATCCCATTAAGAAGTAAGAATTTTTTCCCTCACAGTCATGCTGTATTCCTGTATCATTTTGGCTGAGCATACAGCAGAAGTGCACATGACCAAAATATTAGATTGGACCCACCCATTCCTTGTGACTGGTAAACACTCTGCAAGAGTTAGGAGAGACTTTATATGACTTTGTTGCTTGCGTAGTCTATGAAGAATTAGAACCAGAATGAATCTTTTGGTTGAATCTACATCTATTACATAAATGTAAACTTGACTTGAGCTCCAGAGGCAGAGTTTTGCATTATTATAATTTTATTGGTATCATCTTCATCATCATCATCATTACAATCATCATTATTATCATCATCATCACCACCGTTACTTATCTTTTCTTTTCAATAATAATAATGGTGGCAATGGCTTACATTTCTATGGCGCTTTAGGGTAATAAAACATTTAAAACATAATAATAAAGCATATTAAACATATTATTGACTTCAACAACAACCCTATGAGATAGGTGAAGATACGATCAAATGTATTTAATGCCCAAGATCACACAGCAGTTAGTTCTAGAAGCAGGATTTCTGCCTACAAATTCAATGCTCCTTCTGCTACATTATGCAGTTATATAATAACTCAGTTTCTATGTAATAATGATCGCCAATGGTTAAAGCAATTGTTATATATTTCAAGGATTAATAGCCAATCTGTGTTTCACAATCGATAGCATACATATTCAAAAATGTTCATATTTTAATCCATTTATTTAGAACACATGAAAATATAATTATTATTTATTAAAATTTCATGTAATATAAAATATAAATTAAACATAATATAACTCTGATACAATAGCCTTTAAGTTATATTTAATTCCCCTGCTATACATAAAAATCACCCTTGACATTGACTGGGTCAGTTAGCTCTGTTGGTTAAATCACTACAATCATGAGAGCTAGATTCCTCACATAGACAAGTTAGCTTCATGTCATAAAAAACTTACATAATAACTACAGATTGTACCCTTACTCTTGGACAGTCATAATGGTCAGAAGGGAGAATATGGAATAATGCACAATAGAATGGTTTAATGTATGGCCGCAACTCGGTGTGTGTGTGGGGGAAGCTACTGGAAGCGCATGTTATATTGATAGGAGGTCATCAGCGTTATCCTCAAAGATCACATTTAAAAAAAAAAATTGGTTTGTCATTTGACTTTGCAAAGAATTCACATTCTGCTAACTAAAAGGGCATGCAGTGGTTAGAATACGATTAAGAAATTGTAGAAGGGTCTCGGCATTTCCCTCTGGGTTCTTTTGCTGAGTAACTGTGACCCCTAAATATTTTATGCCAGGACAGCTGTAATGTCCCTTCTGACTATAGGTCCTATGATCCTATGACCTGTGAGATTTGGGAAGACACTGATAGAATTTTGTCACTGTGCACAATTTAGTTATACAGCTTTTTACTTAATAGACCACTCTGGTATCCTGGGGAATATTCCAAGATAGGGCAATCTTACATTTTAAAATATATCATGATTCTAGGAAAAAGCATGCAATTCTAATGTGTTTATGATTTTTTTTTAAAAAGCTAAGCCTAATTGTAAATAAGCACTACAAAATAGACCAGTAAATGATTATCTGTCAGTTATGAGATTATTTAACTTGTATAAGATTACTAATGTGAAAATGCCATAATTCATTACAATTCAGATTCTGTCTCTCTAATAATTCTCCTAAAATACAGGTCTAAAATGGTTTATGTTCATAACAAGTGAGGAAAATCCAATAAACCACATGTACTAACAAAACAAACCTTGAAAAAAATAAACTCAAACACTAGGTTATTATTTATGAATCAATGTATTTGATAAAGTTTACATAATTTAAGACTTTAGATATAACAGAGGATGTTATTCTACTCCAAATAATTCTAAAATTATTATTACTGGTACAGTATTCTAATTAGACTAGAATGAAAGGATAATTTTAATTGCAATAATGAAGGTTAATTTTCATCTTTCCTCATGTTTACTACCTTATTAAAAACTGGTCCCCTTAGCCATGGCAGAGACATATTACATTTTCAATGCAAATGTATTAATCTGGATAAACTCCATATTAATTCTTGCACTGCATAGAGCTGTAATTTGGATTATAATTAATCTAAAGTGGCACTAGATTTAAATGACAATATAAATGAGGCATTAGGAGGCTTTTCTATTATGAATGAATATTCAACAAATATAACTTGCATATTGCCAAGTCTGGTTTTGGAAGCTCTAGTCCTTTAGATAAAGTAAAGAACACAGCACAAGAACTTACACAAACATACTATTACTAAACATATGTTAATCTTTCCTGTTTAACAAATTCTGCAAGAAAGAGGCAAAGTACTGTTTTCCTGTTAACTTGCTAAGCTTGAGATTACTTTTTTAGTTTTCTTGATATTTCTTTGGAAAGACTTAGAACACTGGACTTAAAAAAAAAGTCCTGATTGACATACAATTATACATACATGGTTATGCACTTATTAGAAATATTTGCGAAGTAAAAATTCATTCCATGGTAAGAATTTTCTATCCACAAAGACTTGATTTAGAAAGCAGAAAACTTTGCCACAAGTGCAGTTTAAGAGTTGAAACAAGAGCCCCTCTTGTGGGTAGTTGTCAGGTGCCAAGAACAATTATTTTGCGTATCAGGGATTGCTCTTAGCTGATTTTTATTTTGAATCTACTTCTAGCCCTGCAGGTATGTGAAGAGCATACAATGGGCTCTATTCTCTGAACTTCATAAATTACTCTTCTATAGTAAAATTAGCCACAGAGAGAGAACCATGAATACTCTTCAGGACCCTAAGACACCATTCCTCCCACAGAACACTAAATAATACTTATGAGTATAGATTCTGTCTATATCATTGTATCCAAATGCACTTTTATCCTCAGTGGTGAATATAGGCACTGGATTCCTAGAAAACTCCTTTCTTCAAAACTGGATCTAAACCAGTTTTCTCCTTTAAACCACTGGAAGATTTATAGAGTCCAAAATAATGTGACCTATTGTAGTGTTACATAGCTACTCAATAAGTATCCATCAGGTATAAGGCTACGCAAGACCTTCTGCGTATTCTATGGGTAATAAATGTCAGAATTCAAGCAGGTCTCCTTTTCAGGGTTCAGAAGGCCTGAGTTGAAATCCTGCTTGTGCAACTTATGTTACTTCTATGGTCTTAATTTAATTTCTCAGGGTCCTGTTTACTTTCTCTAAATCTTCTGTTCCCTTACAATCTCCTTAATGATGGGCTTGTGATGACCACCTTAGGGAGTATGTTTCCAATACAATGGTTACATTGATATTAGAAAAATAATAGCTACCTTTTTTCAAGAAACACTAATATATTGCCCTTAACATCATCTCATCATTAGGCACTTCAGAGCCTCTGCCAATAATGTGCTAATAAGCAAGCAAGACTACTAGTGTGTCACATTTGGTAGTTCATCATATAGTTTTTGTTTTACTGGCATTCTTAAATTGAAGCCAACAAGATCTAATTGAAGTTAGAACTACATACTGTATCCAGAAGTAAATTTAAAAGAAGCTTTCCTCACTGCCTCCTGAAATAAATTTGGCTTATGGGGGAAAGTCCATCAAGCAATTTTTGAACCAGATTTTTTTTTTAGGCAATTGGGGTTAAGTGACATGCCCAGGGTCACACAGCTAGTAAGTGTCAAGTGTTTGGTCTGAGACCAGATTTGAACTCAGGTCCTCCTGACTTCAGGGCTGGTGTTCTATCCACTGTGCCACCGAGCTGCCCCTATCAAGCAATTTTTGAAGCCTTTCCCTAAACTTAAGACTGAGTTACAAATATGGGGTAATTTGGACTTAAGTTAACTTGCAGGTAAAATGATATTTTCTGTGCAACTAAATGTCATTATAGTGAATACAAGCTTCTTTCTATGCAGTTGTCACTGCGATGCAAGGAAAAGAGAAATGATTACCTAACCGTAATAGGCTTGCATCCGTTTCAGCCCTTCTTCAGCTTCCAGGAAGCTAACATAATGTAACTAGTTATAGCGTGCACCCAAAGTAGCCAATGTAATATTCATTGCAACCGTAGACCTCCATCTCATACATAAAAAAGCATGGATGAAGTTATATATTTGCCAAATCAAACAGAGAAAAAACCTTAGGTATCTGAGGCAGATGCTGGCCCGGGGTTTGTTTGTGCACCAGTAAATGTCATGACATGAAGGGTTTGTTTTCAAAGACAGTAGCTTTCATTACTGGGATTTGTCTATTCAAGGAGATCAAAATTACCTAACTCCTAATCCCTTTTCAATGATATTTCCTTTTACTTAGGCTGAATCATCTGTAAACTTTTTCCACTGGATTTCATGTATTTTGTTTGAAATGCCTCAGATAAATGCCCCGAAAAGGGCAAATTCTTGTGTGTAAGTTGTCAGACAGAAAAGGGAAAAAAAAACATATTCTTAGGGTTATGAAGGTGGAGGGGTATATGATTGTAGAACAAAAATTCAAGTGGTATCTAATCCTATGCTTATGAAAAATTAATATGCCATCAGAGGAATCACAACTACAGCTAAGATTAATGAAAGATGCTTAAAAAATTACAAGCACACAAACTGATTTGATTAAAAAATAATCTCACTGGTCGTCCTGTAATATTCTTCAACTTATCCACATCTATTCTGTCAGATGGTTATGATTAAAAATAGGTCAATGGGAGGCTACTGATAGAAATCACATGCAAAATGCACATGCAATGAATCGTAGTAGGGATGTCCAGACAGTTTAAAATGAAAGAGCTTTTAATAAGTCTTAAAGAAAAGGGGAGGGAGAGAAGGGATGATGCTGGGGGTGGGGTCTGAAAAATTCTAGCATCTTACCAGGATCATGACTAGCCTTTTTGCCTTCAGTGCTGTCTTTCTCACTTGTGTCTTTATCATCATCAGCAACCACAGGTGTAGGTTTAACGGCTGCTTCTGACTCTTCCGCTTGTTCTTCTGTTAAGAAAAGAAAGAAAAAATGGCAATACCTCAGGGACCAATTGACATCACTCAAGAGCTAGAGTATTCCACCAAACCAGAGGGACACATTTAAAGGTTTTATGTTAATTTTGGATCATTTGTAAGAATTCATATTCAACTAAGAAGTTATAGCATTTCTTTAGTGAGGCCTTATGAATTTGCCAATGTGAATTCATATCTAAAACAATTCATTTTCTATTCACTGATAGAAGTGTTCTGTAATTTTTTTAAGCCCACAGAGAGGCAAATAAAATAAAACATGAAACATACATAACCCTATAATTTAAAGTCACATAAGGTAGGACCTTTAATCCTTCAGACATAACATTCTCTGACTGTAGTAGGAGAATATTTGAAAGTCAAGTCTTTGAAAGTCAACAATTACAAACTGGCACAACCCAGGCATCCTTATCCCATAACGTGGGTGTAATCCCCTTTCCCCTTATCACCAGCAGGATGAAAATGTCCCACTGCATTTGATGATGGATAAAAACCTTCAGCTGTTCTGAAGAGTTGACAATCCTTCTACAGTTGGAGTTCCTCTTCATAAGGGAGGGGAAGTGGTACATTGCTTCAGAGAGAACAGCATCATCCACACCTCACTTACGTGTTCTCACCAGCTAGATTACATGGAAATCTTCACAGTAACTCAACCCTATTTAATTATTCTGTAAATCTTAGCGATGCTGCTGCTGGTGGATTAATCTGTTTATGCAGTTAGCTTCTATGCTGGGGCTGTGTAGCACTAATCCGTGAAAGACCCACTGTTCTCTTTCATCCTGTGATCATTTGTCTCTCACTGTGCTGATGTCACATTTTAATGAATTTTTAGCAATCTGAGTAATGCCAGATAACCAGACTTGCAACTCCCCACAGCATGGCATGCTGTTTTCATTGCAGCACGAAAAATAAAAATCATATTTCCCCATTCAGGTAGGAATTACATAAATTAGGAGAAGAAGGTAAAATGGGATTTGAAGCACCAGGCTGCTCAATTTCATAAAATCTTTAATGACCATATAAATTAACCCTGGAAAGGCAAAAGGTCACAGACACACATTTGCATACACTCCTCTTATTTGCTTTTGATAAGCACAGCTTTTATGCAGAGAACATGATACAATTAACCCTTCAGTAACCATACAAAATGCCTGGCTACCGACATTTTAAGTGTCAAGCATTAACTGAAAATTACACACTGCATAAAATTTTCATTGCAAATGCTATAGTGATTGAAAGGGGAAATTGTGGCCCTCTCCACACCCCATGTTTTATTAATAACATTCTGACAACAGAATGAAATATCCTCTGTCATATGTAGCAGCTGAGCACAAAAAAAATTGCTACTTAGTGCCTCACTTGCCAACCATGCCCTGCCCCTGAGTAAGCAGAACAACAATGGAGGAGGCCCCTGCAGCCTCCAGGAGCACATCTAAAAGTTATATGCAAAAAAATCATTTAGTGAATTTTAAATTAAACAGTTTGTTTGTTACAGCTGCGAACCCTTTTCTGAGAACATGCCACAGATCAAGTAATGGTGCATGTTTATGGTTCAGTCTGCATGCACAAAAAGAGGTGTAGGCCCCAGTTTGGGTGGCCAAAAGGACCGCAGTCAGAGGTAAACAGCCCCGGAAGGCAAATGCATATACGGAAATTACCATGAGAAGCGGGGCTGCGAGGGAGAGGTGGGGAGGGAAACACTTCGCTGTGTTAGCCTGTTTTTCCCCCTCAGTGATGATTGCTAATCAAACCCGGTAGGATCCCTTGTCACAGCTGGAAGGGAGGCTGTATTTGTAAGGGTGGCAGGGGAGCACAGTTTGGGATGCTGTGTAGCTGTGATCGTGACTGGATTGGGTATGTTCATGCCAAGTGCACCCACGTGAGGCTCATATCCAGTGTCAGGCCCTGGGGCCTAAGACAGCCTAGGGCAATTACTTCTCGACTCATCCTCCGGAATGGACACGGGGCTTCTTTTGGTAGATTTACTGGACCTTTTCCCCAGGGCTGGAAAATAAAGTGTCAAAGGGCTACTGAGTGTCCTTATCTTGAGGGGACATAAAATTGTAAGGGCTATCACAGCACACATTAATAAAACATTGTGTGTCACCAGAAGAAAAAGAAAATTATGAAGCTACTAAAACAAAAAAGCTACAATGTAATCTGGGTCTCATCAGAACGTTTTTTTTTTTTCAGGGCGCTCTCCTGTTTTCCTGGTATGTGCTTTAAGTGTGAGAGAAATTCCCAGACATGTTCTCCTATACATCATCGTGGTGTCTGACCTCAGCCTGACCCTGGCAACAGTTTGAGAAATCTGAATGCGAACAAAGACTCTGTGTCAGCAGCAAGGAGAGATTGTGGGATAGACTTTCCCCGTCAACTTAATCGCAAACAGCAGTTCTGAGGCCATAACTTTGCAGGACTCTTCCAAGCCACAAACACATAACCTTTGGAGGTGAAGTTACCCCCCCACCACAACCCTCATCACCCCTTCTGTGATTTTTTTTCCCAGTCCTCTGGTACTTCCTTTGATGTAACCAGGCAATTAGCTCTAAAGTTCAAGCAAGGCAGGCTTGTTTTATGGTTTGGAAGGTGAGAGCTGTTTATTGCAGGTAGGCTCTTTGGGGCCATAAAACAGAGCAAATTTTTAATCGTGCAAAAAAATCAGACCAGCCACATACATCTCATAAAGACTATTATCATTGTAATGCAAAGATGAAACTGACTACTTAGACTTTTGGGGCCCCTTGTACACACAAACACACACATATACACACACACACAGACACATACATATATACTGATACATACACACATATATATTCATATATTCACATACATTTACACACATATATTCCTCTAACCCACAAATACCATATAAATATACGTATATAGTCAATAAACAACAAATATATAAATGTTTTATAAGTGTAATTAAATTATATAAATATATATGCTTTGCCCTTCAAAAAAGTATGATTAATAAAAATCTGTTGATAAATTTATTAGTAAACACAAGAACATTTGGAACTGTTACGTATTCGCAAATTAGAAGTGGCTTTCTTATATTCCTCTAGCCAACAAATGCCAAAAAGAAAAAATCCCCTACCAAAGTAGCTCTTGTCTTTACTAATAAATCTATCAATAGATTTTTATTAATCATTCTTTTTTGAGGGGCAAGGCAAGATCTCATTTCATCTTTGCATCCTATGTCAAACACATAGTGAGTGCTTACTGCTTCTGGAATTATGTTGAATTAATAAGTATGCACAACATATGTACACAGAATTTTGGGAATATACTTGAAATTCCTATATATGTTTCATTTTACAGTTTTATTTGCAAAAACTATCAAGGGTATCTTTTTAAAATAACAAACATATTCATATGCTATACCTAAATTAAAAAGCTATTAAGTTTCACTAATACTTCATCAATAAATGATGGACCATAGAAAAATCTTTCAGTTTAAAATAGTAAAAACAAAATCTCAAGGTTTTTATAAAGAGAGAAGTAAAAGAACATCACTAAGTCAACAAAGTTTATGAAATTAAAATACAAAAAGTATTCTAATCTATAGTACACTCAACTTATTCATTGCTAACTTTAGAAGAAAAGTTTGAGCATAATTTATTCAAGTTTTCTAATTTAAAACCAGCAATGGATGAATAACTACTCTTCATTGACTTGTAATTCATATCCATTTATGCAAGCCAGGAGTGGTACTTTGGACTTTTTTTCCTTTTTTTCCCCAGGCATTTAGGCTCTCTTCCTTCTTTGATGATAAGCCTCTGATCTGAGCCTCAGCTGACGGTGACAGCTTGCCTCCTATTGCTTTAATATACAACTGGGTTTGGGCAGCATTAATCCTGAGTCTCCTAAGAAAAGCACTGTGAATTTTTTAAAGCCCATGGTGTGTACATTTGAAGAGGAAGCAGGGAACAGTAACTCATACCACTGAGGTCTTTTCTGGGGAAAATGGGAGAAAAGAGTTTTTACAGTTCTCCAAAAAGGGGATTAATTCAATATAAGTAAAGTCTCTGAAGTCTAACATGGTTAGGAATGAATAGGTTGTTCTTGTTAATAGAGAGATACCTTTCTGCCATTGATGGATTACCAATATTGAAAAACTTTTATATATCACACTAAGATACTGAACTCCAAAGCAATCCTGGGCATCTTTTCAGCATTTGGCAATGTCCCAGGGTCATCATTATGAACTTCAGTTATCCATGAGAAAATTAGATAACGAATGTGAAAGCACTTTGTAGAACTGTCAAATGCTATGTGAAAGTAAGTTATTTGTTGTAATTTTATGCTTAAATGTAGGAGGTATAGAAGAATGGGTTGATGTGTATTTTCCAGAAGGCTTTTAAAAACAAATCTCTGGTATCAGCTCATTTACTTGAATAAAAGTGTGGAAGAGCTGATTAGTGGAGATTTCTGGTTGATGGAATGTCAGATAATCCAGCTTTTTAGTCTCATTCATTGTGCCACATACAGTTTTCTTCCTACTCTTGCCACCTACTTCCTTCTTAAACTTAAAAGTGAAACAGGACTGTAAGGGACTATTAATATGTAAATCCAGGACCTACTTCCATTTAATTTTACCTTACACTGAAGTAACTCTTTGGTTAGGAGGGGAGTTTATTTACAATTTTCTTGTTTTCAGACCTTTGAAGGAGGATAAGAAACACTTTTGCAAGTAGACTCATCTAAGACTGAGAAGGTGTAAGATGTCTACCCATGAGCAAAGAAACATTTTGGCAGATAGTACCATAATGTGATTCTAACTTCTGTTCCCTCTTGTTCAAACTGCTTCTTCCATATTGTTTTCTTGACAAAAGCCTCCTGGGTCATTGTTAATGAGTCACTAACAATCAAGTTTTCCTAAGAAACCTCTGGATAAGCCTGCTTATATATAACACCCTCTCTAGTTCCATATAGACAGGCACAAAGGGGAAAATAGCACTGTGAATACCACACACCCTAATGTAAATGTTTAGATTAACTTCATATCCAAAATCTCTTAGGAAAGCCAGTCCTTCACTTTATTTTCAGGACATGGTTTTACCCACAAAAATAGTGGAATCATTTTAAGAGCTGGAAAGGATTGGGGAGATCATTTATTCCCATCTTTTTACTTTATAGATGAAAAAATTAAGTATTTTGTCCAAAAAGTCACACAGCTAAGTAAATGGCTTGATCAGGAAGGACAAGAATCCAGGTCCTCTGATTGCAAATCCATTGCTGTTATTGCTACTGCATGCTGCATTTCAAATGTACTTTTATAGTTACAAATTCCCTTTTTCTAATCATTTTCCATACCATATCATTATCATCCTCATTTCATAAATCTGAAAAACAAAACTATGTCAATAAGGGAGAAACAAATGGGTAAATCATTGCTGAGGATGGATAAGCTTTCAGGTGATTTATTTGGCTACTCTATGGCAAAAATCACAAATAATTTACTGACAATCATACAATAATCTGCAATATTGCCCAGCTGGCTATTATTTCCGAAATAAATCCAATTCAACTCAACAAACATTTATCAGATCCCTACTATGTGCAAGGCATAGTGCTAGGCTTTGGGGATACAAGGAAGGAAACAAAATGGATTTTGCCTACAAAGAGTTTACAAATTATTGAGAAGATACAGCTTGCACACAAGTAAATACTAAATAATTTTGAGAAGAGAATGCTAATAATCCATCAAAATAAATTTAGACATTCCCTAAGACAGAGAAACTTTAAGTATGTAAAGTTTTGGTATTACAAACATGATACCTAAATAAATAACTAATTTAATAAAAAAAAATTTCAAACTGCTTAGGCAGCATGGTACGACACAGGAAGACCTGAGGTCAAAACCTGCCTCCGACATTTACTAGCTATGTGACCTTGGGCAAGTCACTTGGCCTCTCTTAGGAAGCTGGGCTCAATGGACTTGAAGGTCCCTTACAGTTCTAAGTCTGTGATCCTATGATCCTCTATGTGTTTGGTACAGTTAGGTAAATTGTACTAAATTAGACAAAATTAGACAAATGATCTGGCTCACTGATACTTTTTTGACCAAGCTCTATCTAGATCTGGTAAATACAGTTATTCAGTGCAATGACTCAACAAAGAAAGGCAGTGGGGTATAATGTTGGTATGGCAGTATGGTGGATGTGTAGTGGGAAAAGAGACAGCCTTGCAGCCAGGTAGCTCTGACTTCAAATCCTACCTCTGACACCTGTGTGACAGGGTGACAAATAACTTAACCTCTCAATACTCTAAACACCATAAAGTATATAAACTTGAAGTCTAAAGACACTCAGTTGCAAAGAAGGTAGTGACCTGCATTGTACTGGGAATTTATTCATCCAGGACTCCCTTATGTCAATGGCAATCACAAGTCCAGTCCCTAACCAATTCAACACATTTTGGTGAATTCTCTGTACTTAAGGAACTTTAGCCAGGAACAGGGACATGATCCCCTACCTGCCCTTATGGAGCTGGCAATTTAGAAGGAACACTGATAACTGTAACATAAATGACAATATGCTAAATCCACAGCTAAGGCAGAAAATAGCATTTCATTATTTCTTTTAAAAAGATGTTACTTACAGTCATATACTATGTATTTCATTTTAATTTTCATATATTCATATAAGTGATTTGATCAGTGCCAGGTAATACAATCATTACCTTTAAAAAAAGTCTCATTTAATACAAATTGAAGATATTCTGGAAGAACAACATGAAAACAACCTCTGCTCCACCCCAAGGGTTGTACAAAACATGAACTGGCAAAAGGCAATGCATTACCTGCAGTTGGTCTCAAATGCTGTTCTGTTAAATCATCCTCACAGACTCGGGCTCCCAAAGATGCAGTTTCTGGAGAGGAAAAACATCATAGCAGTAATCAATCATAGGCTTCATTTCCACATTTCCTCCAAAATCAATTCATGACCAAAAGTAGACTTGGTGTAGACTGTTAAAAATAGAGAATCCCTACCACTGAATGCATACTATTTTTCAAAGTGAGCCTGTTGAGCAATTATATCAGACTCTGTATGCTACATAACCTTTAGCCAGAGAAATAAATATATAGTTTGAGATAAATAAGGCCACAGATGAGGCTCACTCTGATCTTTAGGTTTGGTTTAAAAAAATTTAGTGTTTCAGCTATAGAAAGGCCACAACAGCTTATAGATCTTATATGTGGTTTTGGAAGGCACTGGTAATGTAACTGATTACAGGTTAGAGGGATGTGAGTTCAAATGAAATTATCATAATTTACCCTTTTTCTATTTTGCCAAGAGCCCAATGGGCACTCAACACATGCTAGTTTATGTAAGAGATCAGAGTTGAGTACCAGGAACTTGGGATGGAAACTTTCTTAAGAGGGGTGAGAGATCAAGGTCAAGGGTGAATGAAGTAACAAAAGTAGTCCAAGTATGAAGCCAGACTCTGAATTAGTAAATGAGGAGCTAGCCAAACCCAAATTATCCAAAAGTGAGATTTTAGATTGGAATGAGTATCAAGCCAAGATAGGCATGCAATATAGAGGCACATATTAGGATAACACTGTCAGACTGCAAATTTCCACACTCTTTGCTTCTCCTCATAGGAAAAAGTGGCCATTTAACCTAATCACCACTTAAAGCCCTTCTAAATTCAGGTCTAGCTATTTGTCTCATAGAGTTTCATTGAGTACTATGAAAATATATTCTAATAAATTACTTTTGCATCTGAGGATTAGGGCAACTATGAAATAGTAAGTTAAAAGGTATATATGTCACTATTAAAGACCAAATGCTGGTTAATTAACACAGCATGGAAAGATGATTATGGTATTCTTGAATTATGTTTCTGTTTATATTTTTATTCCCAAAACTAATTGTTTATTTAATTAAGTTGTGCCTTGAGTTTAGGTTATTAGTACATAAAAGCTATTTGTATTACATGAGTATTACATTTCAGAGTCAAGTCAGCATCATCAAATAGTTTCATGTGGTAATGATTCCGATCAAGGCTGAAGGCTTTAATTAAACAAGTAACCTTCAAAACAGAGGGTACACAAAGGCACATTTATTTAATTTACTAACTGTTCTTCCTGCTGTGAACATTAGCTTTTGGTCTTTAGTTGTAACACACACACACACACACACACACACACACACACACACACACACACACCCCCACCAAATCCAGTTTTAAGAAAGAGCAGCAAATGAGTGTTAAATTAAAACAAATTCTCCCCTCCAATATTTCTTTATTCCTAGCTTCTCATGCTTAATAATTTCAAACTAATAATTGAATAAGGAAACATTAATTTATTACTTTATAATATAATCTCTGGAATAATTGCTAGATAATATCACACAGAGGAGGAGCTATTCTAAGGGAAGAACAAACATGGTTAATAGGCAGTTAGAACCCAAGATCACAATATCAGTGATTTATATTTAGTAGAAGTTGTCTAGTTCAACCCTTTTATTTCAGAGATGAGAAAATTAAAGTTAAGTGACTTGTCCAAGGTCACACAGACAGTAAAAATCAGAGTCGGATTTTACCCCAGGTTCTATGACTCTGAAATCAGTGCTCTTTCTAGAATACTATGTGTTCTGAAAGATAAGTAGGGAAGATAGTACATCATAGCAGGGCAGCTAGGTATGGCAGTGGTTAGAGTGCCAGGCCTGGAGTCAGGAAAACTCATCTATCTAACTGAGTTCAAATCTAGCCTCAGACAGTTACTAGCTGACCCTTGGCCAGTCACTTAACTGTGTTTGCTTCAGTTTCTTCATCTGTAAAATGAGCTGGAGATGGAAATGGCAAACCGCTCCAGTATCTTCGCCTACAAAACCCCAAATGGGGTCATAAAGAGTTGAACATGACTGAACAACAACGCTATAAACCTGAGCTGATCTGGATCACTGCAAATCACCAGGCAGAGTTGGACTACATTCTAGGGTACTAAAAACTGATGGGTATGATCACTAAGATTCATTTAGTAGGTGCTAAAAGATACTGCAAAAAATAGAGATGTGCTCCAGGACCAAAAAATATTGTCCCAATTTTCAAAAAGAAAGAAGAAAATGGAGCTTCTTAACTATAGGAGACTAGTAACTATAGAGACCAGGCTTTGATTGCTGGAAAAATGCTAGAAATGTTATTAAAGGACACCTAAAAAAGGAAACATTGATCACAAGTAACTTGAATGGCTTTATCAAGAATAGTTCATGATATACTTCCTTTCCTTATTTGATTAATTCTATTGTCTTCCCTCTATTATTTCCTATTCATCCAGTATATAGTTTACTTTGTGTGTGTGTGTGTGTGTGTGTATAGCCTGTGTGCCCCATTAAACTCCTTGAGGGCAGAGACTATCTTTTGCCTCTTTTTATCTACGAAGGGCTTAGCACAGTGTCTGGCACATAGTAGGTGCTTAATAATAAATGTTTATTGGTTGATTGATGGACTGTTACTAGACACAGATCAGGAGAATATTGTAGCTATACCTTATATAGGGTTTAGCAAAGTATTTTACAATGTCAATATCTATCATATTATTTGTATAGATGTGATATGTGAACTGGGAAATAGTATCATTGTGCGGATTTGATACTAATTAAATGGCAGGATCCCAAAAGTAGCCATTAATTTTTCAAGCCTAGTGGAGTGCCCCAAGGCTGGACTTGGGCTGTGCTGTTTTAATCTTAGGCCTGAGACAAGGGTGTGGTGGGTGTGCCCAGGAATACTTTCATGCAGTGGAGGTTGCCAGGGTGGGAGTTGCTTTCCCAGTTTCTGGGGACTCTGGGTTTCTGCAGTCCATGTTGCTACTACTCTTACCTCCTTCCTCTCATTTCCCCATAGCTGCAGTCCTCAATAGCTAGCATTTATATAGTGCTTTAAGGTTTGCAAGGCACTTATCATATGTCAACTCATTTGATCCTCCCAACAACACTGTACAGTAGGTACTACTGTGACTGCTCAGGGTCCTGTGCTCTACCCACTGGGTTGACTAGATAGAGGACTGTTTTTGCTTGGTGGAGCCCAGCTTCTGTTGGAGTCAAATCTGTCTTCCTTTTTCCCCCTTCACAGAACTACAGAGAGCTGCATACAGGGCAAGGAAAAAGCAGAGACTTTTTTCCCCCACTTCAATCCTGTTTATTCCTCTCCCCCCATCCCATGGCTTAACTCACAAAATGTGGCCCTGGGACTCTGGTTGATATGGTCAGGAAAGACAAATTTTAAAATTTTAAAGGATGTCACTATTTCTTTTATTGGTCTTTTATGGTAAAGTTCAGAGTAAGGGGAGAAGGGCCCAATTGGAATTTTTTTTTTTTAGCATGATAAGCCTACAAAGGTTGTTATTTTAAAATAGAGGGCTGTTTATGATTAAAAGCAACCCTCTGCCAATTTTTACCCTTTAAAAGTAAAGTTTAGAAGTTAATTAAAAATAAGTTTCATTAAGTTTTAGTTTCTTTAGTTTGATGAAAAAAATGTCCTTTATGATTGAATGAGTATTCAATAAACGTTCACCTTAAAAAACATATCTGGGAGTGCACCCTAATTAAATGTGCTATGCATACACAGATACAATGCTTATCAAATTTCAGATGACATAAAATTAGAAGTGATATTTAAGGTGTCCGGTGATGGAATCTATCAAAAAGGGCTTGGCAGATTAGATTATTGGGACAAATCTAACAAGATGAGATTTAATAGAGATATATGTAAAGTTTTATATGAGTTTAGAAGCTAGAATCACAAATGCAAAATGGGGGAGGCATGGATATATAGCATTCACCTGGAGAAAAAAATCTGAGGGTTTTCAAGGATTGTGAGCTCATGAGTTGAGAGTGTGATATAAAGGTAAAAAAAAAACAATTAAAAGATGCAATTTAAGATGTATTAAGAGAGGGACAGTGTTTAGGACTATGGAAGAGGTGAGCAGAGTGTCATTGTACTATGCCTTATCAGGCCATTTCTGAAGCATTAAGTTCACTTGTGGGCATCACATTTTAGTAAGGCCATTGCTAAGCTGTAGAATGACCTGAGGAGGGCCACCAGGATGGTAAAGGGCCTTGAGATCATTGTGTCTTTGTTGTTGTTTGGTTGTTTTAATTGTACCATTTCCTTCTCCAGCTCATTTTACAGATGAGGAAACTAAGGCAAACAAGGTTAAGTGACTTGCCCAGGGTCATATAGTTAATAAATGCATGAAGTCAAATTTGAACTCGGGTCTTTCTGACCCTGGGTCTGGCACTCAATTCACACTGTGCCATTCCTCTGAATTAGAGTTTTACTAAAATTCGTGCGGGTTGCCTTGGTAGATAGTGGCTTTTCTCTCCCTCCAGGTCTTTGGGCAAAAGTTGGTTAAGGACCTCTTGTGGGGTTTGTTGTAGAAGGGTTTTCGAAGTCCCTTCAAACTCAGATTCTACAATTCTACAACCCAGTTTATTATTATTCATGAAGTCTACCCCACCCTGCAAAGCCATCACCCCACCCCAATACAGCAAATGCTTAATCAGCAAATCCAGGTGTGATCCAGTGTTACTTTTCAATTTGAACAACATTAGTCTTTTGGCTAAGAGTGTAGTTGTTATTAAGAGCTACTTTGTCCACAAATAGTGGTGAGGAGACAAGCAACAGTAACTGCTTCTCAGTAATAGTCTTATCAATTATTTAAACACATACTTTTAAATTGTTTCTACTTAAAATACAAAAGATTTCTATTTACATCTTTTTATTCACATGTAAACATTGTTAATGAATGATTAACACCTTACCAATAACTTCAAATAAGGGCAAAAATACCTTTCATATAACAATAATACTAACTCTTCTATAGGGCTTACTGTGTCCAAGGCATTGGGCTAAGTTCTTTA